ACTTCATTGTAAATGTTTGTGTCAATCTTCCACTGATCACTTTTCTCAAGACAACTATCCTGTTCGTTACCTAAGAGCTGTACCCATTTGTTTCCATCTCCATTGACCAAGCCTGCCTGCTTCTAGTGCTTAGGACAATTCAGACAGATGTTTTCGTATGGGGAGATGTGAAAGTATGTTAAACACTTGATTCGCAGGCCTAAGAGCCCAAGAAACAACAAATAAACAAATAAACAATCAAGCCCACTTAAACAGCAAGAGTCATAAATCTGTGCCTGTAATTGCAATATGCAAAGGTGATGACAAAAAACAGGAAAATTCCTTCATGTTTGGAGTATATAGTGTGTCTTACTCTGCAGAAGTAAATCACAAAGAGGCTCTGATTGAAATGCACTTAAATCTGTGGTTTTCTTCTCCTTTATACCTAAGAATCATGTCAAGAATGAGCTCGCTATTTCTCTCTCTCTCTCTCTCTCTCTCTCTCTCTCTCTCTCTCTCTCTCTCTCTCACACACACACACACACACACACACATACACACATACACCATAACGCACACACCATAAATATTATTTAATATTAAATGGCTACACTTAATTTGGTAACATGTTTGTAACATGTTTATCCAGTACATTCATGTGTGAATAGAAATTTTTACCCCTGAAACAATAATCATACAAGTTTTCTTTCATTTTTCTAGGAAAAACTACCTCTCTAAAATCAGATAGTTCTCCTCCCAACTGCTTCTCTGTCTGCATGTCTATTAAACGTGTCCCAGTAAATAGCAAATGAAAATAAAAGTCACTGCTGCATATATTTATACAAACACTTTTTCCATTTGATGTGCACTTTTCAACTCACAGAAAATACGAACGAGCTGCCTTTTAGTGCAGCAGTTCCAAACCACAGTCAGAGATAGGCTGGTAAACATTTAACTTTAGATTAGCTTTCTCAAACTTTTAAGCACTGAAATTCAAGATTTGCTTCCACGCTGAACCTAGGCCTCAGCATCTTTTTTAAGCCTCTCTTGGCATCTCATTTTCACGCACCATCTGAGATGACTTGGAACACATCAGAAAATAACACCATTGCTTCCACAAAACAACTATCTGGACAGTGCCTATTTCTGCATCCATCATTTATGGGACTCTTTCTGGGGGAGATTTTATTTTAAGTGTCAATACTAAAGGATGATCTTATTGGAGTGGGCAGTTTCAGTCTGCAACTGGCGTAGCACCTACTCAGAGGAACCTTATTTTTAATACTTGGCGTAAGACATAAATATAACACTTATTTTTAAATTGTTATTTTTATGTAATTAATAATTTCTGTGTGTGATATTTTAGACAACTACATGAAATGATGTATAGTACTATATTTTTAACAATTTACAGCTTCCAAAGAGGAAGAAAGTCGTCCTCAGTTCTTATGGAAATGAGACGTAAAATTAGCCACATGGCATAAAATGAGCTTCAGTTGTATCACCAGAGAAGTGGAGAAATGAGTTTTATCTATGGAGATCCATTGCTGGAAACACTGAAAGTTCAACATTTTCTAAGTCTCATAAAATGCACATTTTCCATCTTTTCAGTTACCACTTATTTTGAAGAAATAAACAGAGGAAAACACACAAATAAGTACTCACACATACATTCCACATATCGATCATGAGAAATTCATCAATGCTTTTGACTCTCCCAATTTCAATATATGAATATAATTTAGAATTAAAAGAGGGCACATGCGTGTGTGAGCTTATACATGTGCTTGTGTGTGTGTGTTTGTGTGTGTGTGTGTGTGTGTGTGTGTGTGTATGTGTGCATGTATATATGTCAAGATTGAGACTGGTTTTCTCTGTGTAGCCCTGCCTGTTATGAAATTTGCTCTGTAGACCAGATTGGCATGGAATTCATAGAGAGCCTCCTGTCTCTGCCGTCCGCATATTGGGATTAAAGGCATGAGCCACCACCACGTAGTACTAAAAACATAATTTTGAGGACCTTAAATGATATGGAGAAAAAATTTTGGGGCTAGTTATTGGAAAATGGCTACCTGGTGGTTTTTAAATTAAGTATAGCTGCACAGAAAAATAACTACATGATTATATTTGCAGAGCAATATGTATTTCCGTTGCCGTTTTTATTTTCTATATTTTCCTATTCATATAATCAACCTATAAAATGTTAGACTGCATAATGATACACTTCTCAAATCTCAGCACTTAGGCAGTTGGCTTTGATGGGTCTCTGTCACTCTGAGGCTAGCCTGGTCTACATAGCAAGTTCTAGACCAGTCAGGACAGCACAGTGAAAATTGTCTTTACACCTGTGTGAATTAATTACGATTTGAGAAAAAAAAATTCTGACCATGTTAAAAAAAATTTGAAAATTGAATATATGAATAAAGCATGCTCAGTGGAAAAAAAAGAAGGTATGTTTTTAAAAGTTGTTACTGAGTAAAAAAAAAACAGGGTTTATCTTATACTGTGCAGTTTTTCTATTAAAACTATGTTACATGTTCACTAAATGAGATTTTTACAATATCTAAGAAGTTAATTTTCATATATATTGGTTAATTAGATACTGGGTAATTTGATGCTGGTTAAACCGCAATATCTATTTTGGTCACCAGGATGCTGGTGTTCACCAGCAGAAAATCAGTAATGCTAACTCTTGACTGAGAAGCCTGTAAAGTGACTATGTTTTGCTGTGCTTAGACAAGAGAGATATGCATGGTTGTAGCTCTGGCATGTGGGTGTGGTTCCTGTTGGGCAGAGTTGTGGATCCTGTGCCTCTGCAGCTTGGCTACCTGGGCTAGCTTGCTTGATATAGCAGGCTTCTGCAGGGAAATGGGAACTTAGAAAAGTCTTCTGTGGGAGACTAAAGATTAAGCAGGGGTTCAGTAGTCTAAGGCTCCCTCCAGGGTTCTCCACGACAGGCCCTAAAGACAAGAGGAAGTCCATGGTTTGAAAAAGGTTTATTGTCATGGCAGAAAGGGGATGAATCTGGCTGTACCCTTCCCCCATACTTCAGAGTGGACCTGAGCTAAATAGGAAGGGAGGAGGGAGGGGGATCTGGGAAGGAATGCTTAAATGGCTATGCCTTCTGGCCTTTAAGTATCTAATTAATATGAAGATCTCTCGAGGCCCTCAGGCCTGTAGTCACACCCTCTACCTGTGCTGGGTGACACAAACCTCTCTTTGGGAGGGGCTGTAGGTGCATTTCCCTATGTGACAGAAAGAAGCAGATCAATGGAGGTCTAGCCTATGTGTCAAGAGCCTGGATTCTGGGAGTGTGGCAAAATGTATGCTTTCCTGTTAGGTATGGATACCTGTCAGGTCTCTGACCATCTCTAGCCAGTGCTCCACCAGAAACCAAGCCATCCTTTCATGGACTCACAGAGATACTCAGGGCTTCAAATCCATTGGTGGTTTTCAGAGAACCTGACTTCAGTTTCTAGAATCCATTTAGGGACTCATAGCTCTTTGTCTGTAAATCAGTAACAGGAGTGTGATGTCCTCTTTTCCCATCTTTGGAAGGTGGGGACATATGTGGTACACATTCTTTATATGCACAAGACATTCATTAGATACAAAGTAGCAATACGTCATTTTAAAAGACATCATCATGTGGCTCATCGCTAAAATGAGTTATGCAGTGTTTTTCTAACAGTCTTAGAGTTTTAAAAATGTTTGCTTCTGATTATTTAATCTCCATAAGACTAGACTTTTTAAGTTAGAAGGTTAAAGATGGAAGTTAGAGGAAGGAGTAGCAGCCACTGGATTTAATTTGGATTTTGATAGGGCTGACAGCACACCGGCTTACGTATTCTTAAATCACTTTGAAAAGAAAACAGTTTTGACTTTAATCAAATGATATGGAATTTTCTTTTTGTAACTTTACTTGAATCAAACTGTGAAAACCCAATTAAGATTTTCACTCAGTTCTCAAAAATATCTGCACATATTCTTTAAGCCATTGCAAACTGGTTACTGCTCATAAAACTATCCCTGTTGCATTGAGCCTTTGCCTGTATTATACCTTAACATAAATTTGAAAGTGAAAGTAATACCCACTGCATTGAATATCTTTAATAGTGTGGTTGACAATTGTGATTTGAAATTCATAAGTTCAAAGAACATTTTTCTACTGCTTGATTTTATGCTTCAAATTCCCCATGCTTTATAGCAGTTAAAAAAAATAGGATAAAAAAAACCTTCATCCCATCATTCTTGGCAATTCCTCTTATGCTGAAATGTAATATGCAAAAACTTTTAAAGGATAATCCAAATTGTAGACTTTCTCATTTTCTTATTTCTTTGAATGCTTTCCTCAACCATTCAAAAATTCACATTATATTATATTCTATGCCACATACACTTCAGAGAAAATTTAGATGTAAATGCAAACTCAAAACAAGAATTTCATCTTAATAACATTTTGTATGGTCTTATGCTGGAACTAAACCAAAATGTTTAATTTGATGTTTAAACATACAACCAGAGAGGACATTTTTAACTTCATTTTGCTGTGATAAGTTTTAATGCCAGTTCACACAACGCTAAATATAAAGAATGATATAATTGAAAATGATTTCAATGATACCTTCTGTGTTGAACCATTAATAAAATCAGAGTAACACCTGTATATACATTTTATAGCAAATACAAAAATGATTACAGTTACTACTGAAGTTTAAAATACTTCTCTTTAAATGATGTACTGATTGAGATAGATTCTTATGTAAACTTGAAGAATTAAACATTTATTATCAAAGGACTAGTTTAAGCTATTTTAAATAATGTTTGAATCAAAATAACAATTTATAAGAACATATGTTAAAGGGACTGACAAGACGGCTCAGAAGTTAAGTGTGCTTTCTGAATTATCCAGCCATCCACATTTTAAATTTCAATAACCAGGAAGGTGTAGATATCACATAAAAGGCTATTAAGTAGTAATTTAACTTATCTGATAAATAAATTGTCTCTCTCTTTCTCAGCTACATTCTGACTTGGACAAGGGAGAGGGCACTGTTAAATACACGCTCTCTGGAGATGGTGCTGGCACTGTTTTTACAATTGATGAAACTACGGGAGACATTCATGCAATAAGAAGCCTGGATAGAGAAGAAAAACCTTTCTACACTCTTCGCGCTCAGGCCGTGGACATCGAAACCAGGAAGCCATTGGAGCCCGAATCAGAGTTCATCATTAAAGTGCAGGATATTAACGATAACGAGCCAAAGTTTTTGGATGGACCTTATGTGGCTAGTGTTCCAGAAATGTCTCCTGTGGGTGAGTAGACAAATCAAATTTCCATCAGATGCTATTAACCATCTTCAATTTTTTCTTGGTACATATTGATGTAGGTATCTTATTTATAAGGTATTAATATTGTTCACTTAAACATTTTAATTTGCTCTAGAAACTGTTTTCTGTGCCACTATGAATACAGATGTTAAAATATGTGACAATTTTTATTTTTTCTTAATTTATTGATTTATATGAACTTGATTGGAATTGATACTATTCAGTGTTAGAGATAACTACCAAATATGGCCAAAAGCTCAAACTAAAGTATTAAGTAATACATTACATTGAGCTCACCAATGGGCCAATAAAGGGGCATTTGCATTCTTTATATATTTCCTAGAGTAAAAGGTATAAAATCACTTCTTGTTTCCATATTTTTCTGTTTTCTTTTCATTTTCAATCATTAATTCATTCATTCACTCTATACCCCAACCACATATTTCCTTCCTTCCTCTTCTCCCTGTCCAATCCTCTCATCTCCTCTCCCCATATTCTACCCTCCTTTCTCTCAGAAAAGTGGAGGCTTCACATCAGTACCAACCAACTGTCACATACCAAGTTGCAGTAGAACTAGGTGCATATTTTCCTATTGAAATTAGACAGGACAGCATAGTTAAGGAACAAGAATCCAGAGACAGGCTGAAGAGTCATTGACAGCCTCTGATCCTACTGTAATGGGGACTCACTTGATGACCAAGCTGCACATATGTTATATATGTATGCACCCACATTGGTTGATTCTGTAGGTTTTCTTCTGTTGTCCTTGACCTCTCTGGCTCTTTTAAATCTTCCCCCCCTCCACAAGATTCCCAAGCTTTAATTAATTATTGGCTGTGGGTCTTTGGATCAGTTTCCATCACTTGCTGGGTGAGGCCTCTCACATGACAGTCATGCTAGCCTCTAGTCTGCAAGTTAATATCCTCCAGGAGAATATCATTAACAGTGTCATTGGTGGTTTCCAATGGGTCAGTCATTGGTTGGCCTTTCTTTCAGTTTCTGCTCCAACTTTATACCTGAACATCTTGTAGTCGGGACAAACTCACAACTACAATGATAACTGTTCCCAAGGATAATTTCTTTATCCATTCTTCAGTTGAGAGACATCTGATTGTTTCCAGTTTCTAAATTTTAAAAATAAAAATGCTATGAATGTGGTTAATCAAGAGTCCTTATGGTATGATAGAGCATCTTTTTGAGTTTTTGTTCTTAACCAATGTGAATGGTGTAAGATGGAATCTCAGAGTCTTGATTTGCATTTCCCTAATAACTAAGGATGTTAAACATTTCTTTAAATGATTCCCAGCTAGTACAGATTCCTCTGTCTAGAATTCTATATTTAGATCCATACTCTATTTTAAATTGGATAACTTTGTTAATGTCTAATTTCTTGAGTTCTTTACGTGTTTTGGATATTAGCCTTCTGTCAGCTATAGGGTTGGTGACAAACTTTTCCCATTGTATATGCAGCTTTTTGACCTATTGATGGTATCCTATGACATACATAGCATATTGAAGCTTTTCAGTTTCATGAGGTCCCATTTATTAATTATTTGTGTCTGAGTTGTAGGTGTTCTGTTCAGGAACTTGTCTCCTGTGCCAATGCATTCAAGGCTATTCCCCACTTTATTTTCTAACAGATTTAGTATATCAGAACTATCAGAGTCCTCAACATAAAACTAGAATGTCTTTGATCCACCTTGTTACTTGAGCTTTGTGCAGGGTGATAGAGATGGGTCTTTTTTCATTCTTCTACATGAAGACAGCAAGTTAGGCTAATACCATTTATTGAAGATATATTCTTTTTTTTTCTGTTGTATATTTTTGGCTTCTTTGTAAAAATTCTAGCATCCATAGGTATGTAGCTTTACTATTACATCTTCAATTCAATTCTACTGATCAACCTGTCTGGATTTTTCCCAACACTATGTGGTTTTTATTACAGTTGCTCTGCAGGACATCATGATACCAGGGATGGCTATACCTCTAGCAGTTCTTGTATTGTACAGGAACATTTTAGCTGTCCTATATTTTTGGGTTTTAAACATGAAGTTAAGAATTTGTCTTTTAAAGTCTGTAAAAGATTGTGCTGGAAACTAGTTGGTAAAGTTATTGAATCTATAGATTGGTTTTGGTAAGATAGCCATTTTTATTGTGATAATCCTATTAATCCACGAACAGGGGTGAACTTTCCATCTTCTGATGTCATCCTGAAATTCTTTCTTCAAAGACTCGAAGTTTCTTCAAAGACAGGTCATTCACTTGCTTGGATGGTGTTACACCAAGGTAGTTTATATTATTTGCAGCAAGTATAAATGGTGTTGTTTCCCTAATATCTTTCTCAGTGCATTTATCATTTGCATAAAGGATGGCTGCTGATATTCTTTTGAGAAAATTTTGTATCTAGCCACTTTGAAGAAGGAAGTTATCAGTTGTAGGTTTTCTGGGAAAATGTTTGGGATCACATATTCATAGTATCATATCAGTTGCAAATAGCAATACTTTGACTTCTTCATTTCCAATTTGTATCCCTTTGGTGTCTTTTAGCTGTTTGATTACTCTAGCTAAAGCTTCAAATACTGTATTGAATAGATAATGAGTGGGCAGCCTTGTCTTGTGTGTAATTTTAGTAGAATAACTTTACATTTCTCTTGATTTAATTTGATGTTGGCTACCAGCTTGCTATAGATTGCCTTTAATGCGTTTAGGTATCTCTGCTCCTGTATCCCTGATCTATGCAAGACTTTTATCATGAAGTGGTATTGAATTTTGTCAAAGGATTTTTTCAGCATCTAATGAGATGATCATGTGTTTTGTTTTGTTTCATTTTGCTTTGTTTTGTTTTGCTATGCCTTGTTTTCACTTTCTTTATATGGTAGATTACACTGATGATTTTTTTTTTTTTTTTTTTTTGGTGAACCATCTTTAGAATTCTGGGCTGAAGCCTACTTTATCATGGTGGATGATGTTTTTTTATTCATGACGGTGTTCTTGGGTTTTGTTTGAAAGTATTTTATTGCAAATTTTTGTTTCAATTGTAATAAAGAAAAAATATTTGAAATTCTCTTTCCTTGTTGATTCTTTGTGTGGTTTCAATATCAGGGTGACTGTGGTCTCATAGAACGAGTTTGTCAAGGTTCCGTCTCTTTCTCGTCAGTGGAATAGTTTGAGAAGTATTGGTATCAGCTCTTCTTTGAAAGTTATGTAAAATTCTATGATAAAACCATCTAGCACTGAGCTGTTTTGGGTTGGGAGATTTTTATTATTAAAAATTTATTTTTAGGAGTTTTGTGTCTTCTGAAATGGTTTACCTGATCACATTTAACTTTGGTAAATGGTATCATATCGATTAACAACACTGTCCAATTCATTTAGGTTTTCCAATTTTGTGGTGTATGGGTTTTTGAAGGAAGACCTAATGATTCTTAGGATTTATACAGTGTCTGCTATGTTCCCGTTCATTTCTGACTTTGTTAATTTGGATATTCAACCTCTGTTTTTTTAGTTAGTTGGTTATGGGTTTGTCTATATTGTTGATATTTTCAGAGAACTGGCTTTTGGTTTCATTGATTCTTTTTATTGTTCTCTGTGTTTTCTAATTTATTGACTTCAGCCCTGAGTTTATTTCCTACTATCTACTTCTCTTGAGTGTGTTCGCTTCTTTGTTTCTTTGTTTCTTTCTTTGTTTCTTTGTTTATTTCTTTCTTTCCTTCCTTCCTTCCTTCCTTCGTTCCTTCCTTCCTTTCCTTCCTTCCTTCCTTCCTTCCTTCCTTTCTTTCTTTCTTTCTTTCTTTCTTTCTCTTTCACTTTCTCTCTTTCTCTCTCTCTCGCCCCCTCCCTCACTTCTCTCTCTCTCTCTCTCCCTTCCTCCCTCTTTCTTCCTTCCTTTCTTTCTTTCTTTCTTTCTTTCTTTCTTTCTTTCTTTCTTTCTTTCTTTCTTCCTAAAACTTGCAGATGGGTGGTAGTCACTAGTATGGGATATCACTAATTTTTTTTATAAATATAATGCAATGAACTTTCATCCTAACATTGCTTTCATTGTGACTTATAAGTTTGTATATGTTGTGCATTAATTTTGACAAATTCAAAAAGTCTTTAATTAAGTAATTAATTAATTCCCTGACAGAGTGGTCATTGGGAAGAAAGTTGTTTAGGTTCCATGAGTCTGTAGGCCAAGAACCAATTATACTTTGCATAGTTGATTAACAGTATAGCCTTTGCTCTATCACATCAGTTTGTCCATAGTTGACACAGATATTTAGGTTTTCTCTGAGCACAAAACATTTTTGCCAATTACTGTGAGTGGAGAAAAATAAATAACGGAAAAAAAACCACTAAACTGACTTATACATATAAATATTAAGGACCCTGGCATTAATATATATTATAAGCCCCATATAATATTTATAAGGAAATAGTCGTGATGAATAGTTATAAGGAAAGTCATTATTTTATATAATATGTACATTAAAAATAAAATGAAAATTATAAAACATCACAAATACTTAAAGAGCCAGTGTATTTATAACATAAACATAAGGTGAATAAATATTGTAGTACTGGAACAAACTTTGTAATGCAAATGTGAATTTAATCCTAATGGATTTTATATAGGAAAGAATGCTCAAACAAACCTACAATGAAAAGTATAAAAAGGGACTATTACAAGGACTATACATATGTAAGTTCAGAAAATGTTAAAAAGATAAGTCGAAATTTCAAGGAAAATTAATATTTCAGTCATAATGTAATATAATGCACTTAACACCCTGAGATTCAAAATTGTCCACTTGACACTATGAATGGTTTGAGAGGAAGGTTGTTCTGGTAATAACTTCTGCTACATCCAATCTGCCATGGCAACATGCTCAAAGACAAACTGCTTCTACTTTGACCTAAGGAAATTGCCTCTTGATCCAGAGAGTCCCCAGCTCCTTGGAGACAAATTTGGACTTTATGGATGTGCTCTTAATTCTTTAAGACCA